AGGGGGTGGGTGGGTGGGGAAATCAAATTTAATTCCCATAGAAAACAAAGGGGATGTGAACGGAATAATGGGGAAGCGCTGTACAGCTATTTCGACCTAGTAGCGTTTCCTCAGTAGTGCGACCCAACAGAGGATCGAGTTCGGAACCATACAGATCGAACACAAAGCACACAACTCGGTGCTTAACTGAGCTTTTTATTGTTCACTCCGCATCATTCTCCCACAGCAGCAAATCCGCTTTCACAAAATCATTGTTCATACTCCTTTCCCCCTCTGCTGTTCTTTCGTAATTTGTCAGTGGCCACCACGGATCATTCCCATTTCGACAGTTTTGTTTGCGTTATACTCAGTCACGGAGCGAACGGTGTGATCTTTGCTACGGACGGACCGATTCCCGTAGAAACAATTGTCGGACATTTCCGTGGTGGTCAGTGCCCGTCATTGGTTGGGAAACCAAAGATGTTTTTCTTTCAAGTAAGTTGATCAAGCAACTCATTCTTGCTTTCTCGGTTTTCCTCCCTCGAATGACAACTTAGCCAGATTGCATTGTGACAAACCGCGGGAATATGCCAATCTGTTTGCTCCTCTAGATTGTCAAAATTGCTTTTCGACAGGTTGTAGTCTTATGTTGAAATTGTGAAAAGTTCTATGGCCCCGGTGGGATTCTAACCCACGCATGGACGCCGCCAACGCCCTTGTATAGCGCACACTCAGTCGAGCTACGAAGCCACACTGATAGCACTAATGTTTTCACATTCCAATGACCCAGACTGCCGAAAATGGATCGATTAAATCGGTTTCCACTATTTTTGCAGGCATATACATGAATGAAGTCATTCTTTTCAGGAATAAATTACGACGTTTATGATTTTCCTACTTCGCGATGTGTGGTTGAACTATCGACTATCGTTGCTAGTGTTCAGTTTTAGCCCTTTGCATGCCAAAGTCTTTCATCTTTGTTTTGCTTTAAAAGAAGAGTGCATGCTGTAAATTATTGCCATCGACGAGGCAGTTAGTACTGGTCTGACTGATCAAACTACAACCTGGCATGTGGGTATACAAAGCTTGCCTAATGGGGTTGATCATGTAGGTTAGGTTCCTCGAGTGAGAACTTCACAACCAGTCTAATCAATCGTGCAGTATCGCTGTGTGGCTCCGCACTTCTCTCGACGAAATTCTTTAAGATAAAATAATCTGCCCCTCAGGAAAGTGGAGCTCAAGTTAAGCATGAAGGGATGATCGAATTATCCCTTCACAAGCTGCGAAACACCTGTGAACTAAGGCTGTTAGGTTTCAGTTGTTTTTTTTGTTGATTATTGCATTAGTTTTCAAGCCATCGCTTAGCATTGACCCTCAGTCCTTCCCCCCCGCACCCGTATGAGGCAGGTGACGTCCGGGTGAGACAGCACCTAAATTGGCTTTGAATCATGCGACTTAGTTTGGTGACAGCTGTCCAACCAATGACGAACATGCTTCCCGTGGTCGAGAAGAAGATCCAGGCCCCCTGCTTCTACGTTCATTTAGTGCGCACAGCTGTTTGACCGGCAAACTGCTCGCCGTGTTTATTTGTTTACTTGACTAATCTCTCTCTCTCCAAGAAGTGCAATGTTGTACTACTTACTGAACTGAAGTGATGAGGATTTTCCATCGCCATCCGGCTATTCTATTCCATCAGTTGTTGGTCTGCCGGACCCCATGTACCGATCAAACTGATTTGAGTACCCAGGACTACGCCTAATGATCTAGGTTAGGTCATTGAATCACCCCGAACGCAAGAAGCATAAATTGTGGAATATTGTTCAACTTCTAAGTTATCCCTGCATGATATTCTCTGTTCGAAGCGAATGCCATTGGCTTACACTAGATTGATAAGAAATTGCCTCAAATTGTCTCAGGTCGCGAGCAACTGAAAGTGATTTGTAGCTAGCTTGGAACAAGCATAGTATGCGTCGGATCTGATCTGTAATGCGATGCATCACAAACTCCTGCTTTCTTAGACGATACAACAACCAGGCTCACAGTTTCAGTTTGTACAAGCATCAACGGTGCTTTTTCGTGCACCGGTTTTAATTGCTGTTTTTTGGCTGCCCATTTGAATGAAGTGGCAGGAGAAAATAAGGAACGATGAAAGTACCGTTGAAGAGAAAATGGAGAATTTCAGGTGACTAAGGTTGCAGAGAAATTGAATAGATGCCCGAACCCTACTGTTTGCAGCACTCAGCCATATCAAACCAACTGTTACCGCCATTTAGAGGTCCCCAGCCAGGGAGTCTAACGGGACCCATGTGACCCAGACTCCTGGTTATAGGATTTTCATACCCTCAGGTCAGGTCTTAGTTTGATCGCTTTTGACTGTTTTTCATCCGCCTGCCTGCCTGCCTGCCTGCCTCGGCAAACATCACCCACCATGCCCACCTATCGGGTGACATGCCGATCACCAGTGCTCCAGTGGACAGCCGCGATTGTCTAATACTACGCCTAATCTCAGCTCTGCTCTTCCGGTTACCCCACCAGATTCGTGCGATGCTAAGTAGACAACGGTGTTCGAACACCGGCAGTCTATCTTTATCCTGTTTTCGTATTGGTAAAGTCCACGCCGCATAGTAGAACCGGCCGAACTGTTGCAGCATATACTAGACCTTAGTCCACTGAACTTCTCCATTTTCTTTTCCAATCCACTTCTTCTCCTATTCTTCATCCCAATGGGCAGCCAAAAGACAGCAACCAAAACCGGCGCACGAAAGTGCATGGTTAATGGTTGTTCAAACTGAAACAGACCCCTCATAGACAGCCGGATGTCGCGACAGCACCACAGATGTCTCAAGTTGGCAAATGCCAATCGAGCCTTTCGTATGCGAGCTGTGATACGTCCACCGGGTGAGATAGCTTCCCAAATAACGAAACTTGTCCACTTACTTTATTACTTCCCTAGTTACAGTGAAGCTGGGTGCTGAACTAACCCAGTCTTGTAGCAACATTTTACACTTTGACGATACAAAAGGCATGCCGAACATAGATTACTACGCTGGCACCCAAACTATCCAGAAAACCTACTACTTACTTAGAACAAGGCTCAGAACGGCATGACGCGGAACTGTGCTTTGTACATTGTAGCAATGTTGATTAGCTTTTTATAATCGAACTTCACCTTGTTTGTAGATTAGTTCGTGCTAGATGAGATGAACAATCGGACCGTAACTATTGATTATTGTGTTCCGGTCCCGGATCGTGCTCTCAGCTGACCGGGATTCCAATTGATTTTTCAGGGAACATGTTAGTCCGAAAAGCAAATTAAATTTCAGATTCCATGGTCCTATTCAAGTTAGATGGTAAACCGAGTTGAAAAGGTGTGAGGCTCATGATTTAGCTGAGGACGCAGAGGTTGTACTGTAGCACATGATTCCGAATCGCTTTGGCTTTCGTGAACAAGGGGATCACTGCGCTTCCATTGGCTTTGAATCATGCGACTTAGTTTGGTGACAGCTGTCCAACCAATGACGAACATGCTTCCCGTGGTCGAGAAGAAGATCCAGGCCCCCTGCTTCTACGTTCATTTAGTGCGCACAGTTGTTTGACCGGCAAACTGCTCGCCGTGTTTATTTGTTTACTTGACTAATCTCTCTCTCTCTCTCTCCAAGAAGTGCAATGTTGTACTACTTACTGCAACCTGATGATCGGACAATGAAAATTGTATCGAACTTCAAATACCTTGGGTCCACCATCCTGCCCAATGGACAAGCCAAAGATGATCTAAAGCGGCAGGGGAAAGTGAATTAAATAACCAGCACATAGCATGGATTCGTAATCTATTGTTTTATTACACACCTAGGTGTGATAAACAGCAGACGGGGTAAACCCCATAGTCACGAGGACCTGCTGTTCAGTTGTTGAAATCGGCAACCCAAGCCCCGGAACTTGAAGTGGCGAACCACATAAGGCTCCGATAGAGTAGGCGTGGTATTGAACCGGACGACAGCAGAGCACCTTACCACCAAACTCGAGTGGCGGTAGCGGGGCTCAAACCTCGGACCATAGGGTCTAAAGCACGCAAGTGACAGCGACTAAACTACTGAGCCACCACCACCCAGTCTGAGTCTGAGACTAGCACATAAATCCATGGTTACGTTTTTCCTGTAGACGAGTGCATGAGATAGTAAGGAACTGAAGAGTTTCTACATATGTATACTTACTTGTTTCAGGGAACATGTTAGTCCGAAAAGCAAATTAAATTTCAAATTCCATGGTCCTATTCAAGTTAGATGGTAAACCGAGTTGAAAAGGTGTGAGGCTCATGATTTAGCTGAGGACGCAGAGGTTGTACTGTAGCACCTGATTCCGAATCGCTTTGGCTTTCGTGAACAAGGGGGATCACTGCGCTTCCATTTCGATCTGATTTTGCTGTGTCCCCCGTGGAACGGTTTCGGTTGATTGATCTCCCCTCCCCCCCCTTCACCGCGTCCTGAAAAACAGCCCCCGTGTGATGATGTATCCAAATGAAAAGAATTAGATAAGCTGCCCGGAATGGTTAAATATCAATCAGATGTGAAAAGCCTTTTTCATGTGACATTTTTCAACAATAAAACTTTTGATATGCAATAATTGTACATCCTAATCCGAGTTATCTATCATTTGATACTAAATTCGTAGTCGAATTTGCGACTGGTTGAGCATTTCATTGAAATAACATTATTCAGTCAAAGTTTTGTTTTGTATGATGTCACCATTGGTTCCAGAACACAAAAATAATCGTCCCCAAGATACGTTTTCGCTGTCTACATCGCAGTCAGATTATGCGTACACGCATCTGAGACAGAGATGATGTGCGCGTGAGTTTGTGCATCAAATCTGGGGGTTCGAACTGCGTCTTCTATATACTTGGATATGCGTTCCTCTCTTTGGGAATTTGTTGATTCCTCGTATGGAAATTATTTTGTGATGTCCGATCAAGAGCCCTAATTAGCTGTTTAATCGTTGTTTGGGCTGATTCGTATTGCGTACTTTTTGTGTCCCTGCCCGAACACAATACACTAAAACTACCGTTGTCGTTTGCTCAATGTTAATCGTCCACCCGGTCGCTCCGGACTGAGGGTTTTTTTGACTCTCAACCCAAAAGCTCGTGATTTCAGGTCCCGGTTGGAACACTGTTGTGGAGTCCCACAGGAAAGAGACTGTTTCCGCGTGCTCTTTCCGGTTATCACATAATCATTTTCATCACAACACCAGGCACTGCTGACGATCATGGATCAGGAGGGGAGTCACTCCATGTCTCAAACAGGATGAAACAGCTGTCCAGTACTCTTTATCGGTTATCCCAGGCATTTCCATCGCATTTAAATACACCGAACTAGTTGGGAATTGCGGATCTCGCAAGGAGTGAAACACAGCTAAAACTATCAAGTGAGCCTGGTTCCTCTGAACAATCGAATTGATTGAGCTTTTCGCACAAGGTGTTGACTGTCGACCATGTAACTCCGGGATAACCAAAACCCGAATCCGTGCCTACGGCGAAAAGTTTTATCCCTTCGATCCAAAGTCAGGAGTGAGACAAGGATGGCCGCTATCGCCAGTGTTGTTCAACTTCGCTGTTGATTGGATTCTGTGTCGGGCAACGGAGGGTTACCAAGGCGTTCAAGTTTCTGCGGATTGCTGGATTACTGATCTCGAATTCGCCGATGACGTGGTAGTGCTTAGGGAGGACCTGACCGCATCGCAAACAACTCTCAACCGGTTCAAAAGATTTGCCTATGAGATCGACCTTGAAATTAATCCTGATA